CTTTGCACAAAATGGCTACCACTGATAATAGACATTAGAAACACCAAAAAGGCCACAACTCAGTCAGCTTTACACACATTTTGTTACATACGTACCGATTTTACATAGAAAGCTTAGGCAGCATAGGCAGCTTAGGGTGTAGCACACCAAAAAGCTTGTATTAAGAGCGGATCCCATTTTTCTAGCATTTGAAAAACGTAACTAAATAGTAATTTTTCAGGCAAATAGTTACTTTTATAATCTTGTAACTCAGTCTCTTATTCAGATACTGTTTTTACTAATTAGTAACTATAACCGCTTACTTCGAGCTTACACTCGAAGCTCTCGATTTACTGGTTGAGCTACGTTCCTACCTTCACCAGTGGATACCGCCAACGGAACGAGATCACGGATACAAGCTTCCGAAATGAGTTTTCTCCGCCGGGTGTCTGGGCTCTCCCTTAGAGATAGGGTGAGAAGCTCGGTCATCCGGGAGGGGCTCGGGGTAGACCTGCTGCTCCTCCACATCATTAAGAGGTAATTGAGGTGGCTCGATCATCTGGTTAGGAGGTTTTCTGGGCACGTCCGAATGGGAGGAGACCTAAAAGAAGACTCAGGATACGCTGGAGGGACTATGTCTCTCGGCTGACCAGGGAACACCTTGGGATTCCCCCGGAGGAGCTGGGAGCTCGCCCAAGTGGATGGCGAGAGGGAAGTCTGAGCCTCTTAGCTTAGACTGCTGACTCCCGCGACCCGACCCTGGATAATCGGACGAAAATGGATGGATGTACTATTTACTTTTTCTAAGCAACGTTCCCAACACTGGTTGTGGGGTTGTTTTTGGCCATTTGTCAGGGCTCCTGGGTCATTGTGAGCTCCAACAAGGTTTCTTAGAGTCTCAAAGAACATTTTCCAATCATAAAAATCTCTAACACACCTTTTTTAAATTGCTGCATTTAAATAATGAAAAATTATTTTAATGGCAACATATTTCGAAAGAAATCACAAATCTGCACCTCTCCTCACATTTCTTTAGTGAACCAAGTGAAGAACCTCTCTGACTGTGAGTCTCATCCCACCCACTGTGAACCCGCTACCTTTGATTGATTGGATAAAGGCTCCCTTGTGGCTAAACAACACGAAAAAGCTAATAGAGACAGGAACACACGGTGCCCTTAGAGATAGGTGATAATTACTGTAATGATGCCAACAGTGTTCGCTGTTGCCATCAGAATTAGTCATTTCCGCCGCAGCATTAAAACGGCCTTTTTAATGTTGTTTTGGATCCGGTTGTTTCACCAAAACACCTCCGGCCAGTTTGGTCTGCAAGAATACCGAAGGTGTCTGCAGACCTGCAGGTTTGGTAAGAAATCCGAGGTGTTGGCTGAGTCCACACCTTTAACTCCTTGTTGGAGAAAATCATCTCTATGTGAGGACTCCTTTTTTAAGAACAATCTTTTAGGAAAATGGTATCAAAGTAACATTTACATGAATGCAAGGACAGAGAACTGATTTTTAACGTCTTCCACTTGCAACCTATAGTGCATTTGTTGCTGTTTTATTGTCCAAGATTACATGAGAAATGCATCAAAATCATTTTTCTGCTGCTCTCCGAGCCAGTGATTGTTATTTCAATCGAGCTTTAAAGAAAAAATTAGGTGTATTTCACTGTTTTTGTTTAATAAAAATAAAATCATCTTGAAAAGGTCCAGCATTCATGAGAAATGTGAACTGCTAATGAGTTTTGTGACTATAGAGAAATACTGTGTAGTGAACTGATAATTTATTGCTTATGAATCACTGTAATTAGCAAATGTTACATTCTGACCATTTGGAAATTAAACAAAACCAACTATGAGCTTGTTACGAATCCTGGGCTCCCGCACCTTGAATGGCCCAGTCTTGCTCCCTCCATGCAGTTCAGGACCTTGACAGGTCCTCCGTCCTGCTCCCTGCATACTGTTCAGGACCTTGGACAGGTCCTCCGTCCTGCTCCCTCCATGCTGTTCAGGACCTTGGACAGGTCCTCCGTCCTGCTCCCTGCATGCTGTTCAGGACCTTGGACAGGTCCTCCGTCCTGCTCCCTGCATGCTGTTCAGGACCTTGGACAGGTCCTCCGTCCTGCTCCCTCCATGCTGTTCAGGACCTTGGACAGGTCCTCCGTCCTGCTCCCTCCATGCTGTTCAGGACCTTGGACAGGTCCTCCGTCCTGCTCCCTCCACGCCATTCAGGACCTTGGACAGGTCCTCCGCCAGGCTGGCCTCCACCTCTGCTCGCCTTCGCTGTCCCAGCTGCATATAATCAACTAATGAAGACAGATGGTTTAAAGGACTGCAGCTTTCAGTTCTCGTGAAGAGACACATAGTTCTTTTCGTTTAACCATCGAGTAATTATTAGCCGTTTTTGTTTAGAGATCCATTTTTCGTCTGCTCTAGTGCTTGAATTTCAGTTTTCTTTTCAGCTTTAGAGCTTGCTTTAAGTTTTGCTAGTAGCAATAATATTTATCATAGTTAAAGCCGTCGAGATTTGTTTTAGTTAGTTAGCTCCGGCATGTTTTTTCGTTAGTACTGATATTCTCGTATTTTCTTCCCTGAGACCGTTTGTCTCAGGTGTTTTGAGTTTTCTCCGTTGCCTTCGTTAGTAATATCCGAGTGTATTTGCGTTTTGACATTCTTCCAGTCAAGGACTGAGTAGTTGTGTTAGCCCTGTGTTAATAAAAATACATTTTATTTACACTCCCCCTTTCTCCGCACCAGTTTCTATGTTACCCCTCTACCACAGCGACTAACAACATCAGGGTTTGTAACAGAGCTGTTAAATAATTTAGTTGAATTAGTTATTGGCTCCCCTTTAAATTGCAGTGAAAATACAGTAAAAAGAGACATCATTAAACGCACAGAGCGGAAGTGAAGTGCTTTAAATTTAAACCTCAGCACAGTCCTTGAGTAAATGTACTTTTTCACTGCTGCTTCTCTGTCACTCCATCTCTTACCGGCTCTTTCTGCAGACACTTTCCAATCTCTTCTCTATATTCAATTTCGTTCTTTTATTCCCTCATCGGAGAAAGCCTATCCTCCCAGCTACGTCTTCTCCTTTTTTAGAACTCATTCTGCTTACTCCTTCCAAAGCATTCTATCTCCTTCCTCCTTCCTCCTCTTGCTTTCCCAGGAGTAAAGATACTCTAATCCTCTCCGTCTAATGTTGTCAATAGCTCTCAATAACAATGAAACAGCACCGTTTTCTATCCCGCCGCTGATGAAGCTGCAGCCTTAGTTAGGATCTTATTCGTCATCGGGGCAATCTACCTTCTGGTAATAGCCAATCAGGTGGCTGCAGCGAAATGCACTTCTCCCATGATAGGTTCCACATTGTTTTGATTGACTGCACCTGAGGGCCCGCCACTTCAACCGGGCTCGATCAATATCCCATCACACACGCACGAGGTGAGCCCACATAAACACCCAGGAAGACGAAACACACACACACTTTGAGGAAGGGCGGATTGAGAAAGAGGTCGTTGGTACGGGAAGCAAACAGGACATTGTGGAAAGTGTGCGACAGCATTGCGCCGTAGTGATCTGATGGTGCAGTCTGAGTAATCAGCTGTTGCGTAGCCATGAACACAAGAACACAAACAAGACGTAGTACCTGTTGATGCAGAAAGGTTTTTAATGTTATTTTTAACGGTAACTTTACGGTAACACGCCGCGTTAAACAGGAAGGATGTATTAAAAACAAGAAAGGGGAAAATGGCTCCCACTCCACGCCTGTTTTCTTACGTTGTGTCACACATATGGCCTCACATAAGCCCTGCCTCTGTTCCCTCTGAGCTGAGGAAGCCATACTGAGAGCAGCACAGCCATCTGCACAGTATGGTGTGTGCTATGAGTATTACAAACATGTTGATGCACACGGTCGGCCACCCGCCGAACGAGAGGCGTAGAAGGGAAGGTCAGCGACCGCTCAGAGAGGGAAAAGCAAAACGGGAGGATGTAGTAGAAGAGTTGGGACGGAAGAGAAAGTGTGAAATAAATAATGGTGTCAAAGGCAAATGAAACATTAGGAATGGAGAGTGGAGGGATGATGCTAACCCATCACCGTCATCTTTGATGTACACACACTCAGAACTCACGTCCAGCCCATAAACACTCATCAGGGTCTGGGTCATCCTCCTGCTGCTGTTTGCCGTTGCACAGGTCAATCGGAGGTCCTGAACTCAGCGTTTCATCCGTCTGCCAGACCTGTCTGAAGCTCCGACCAACACACCAGACGTCTGAAACCCCCCCACCCCCCCACCATCGCCACAACCCCTCGCTCAATCTCCTGTGGCTGTCATGCACTCCTGCTTCTGCTCCTTCATCGCTCCATCCTTCAACACAACCTTGTCATGTTGTCAGTCAGGGCAGGGATTTGTCACCGCTTCAGACGGTTGCTTAGCACCGCTGGAGCTCATCCGAACTCTCCGTTCTTTTCTCGCGCTTGCGTGTCTTTTTGAAGTCATGGCTGGAGGTCAGGTTAGAGAGACCGTGTCAGTGGAACCAACGCACCACGCCGCTGTCTGTGTTCAGAGCTCTTGTCTTTGCACTCATTCTGTTTCTAGTGTTTGCATATCTCTGTTGTCATGTTTGTGTTTATGATGTGTGTGTGTGTGTGTGTGTGTGTGTGTGCAGAGCTTGTGTGTTTTCTAACGGCCTCTGGAGATCCCTCGTAGGCTGAATGCTCCCGTGTCTAAACGGCAGAGTTCCCACAGGAGACCCGAACAGAGCTGTTCTCTGTATTTTGCAGCTAGAGGAGCTGTACGTATAGCGCAGGACTGCCTGCCTGCGCGATGTGACGGGAAACATCTTCATAACCGTGTGTGAAAGTGTATTGTATATGTTCTCAAAGCACAGGTGCTCCAACTACATGGAGATATGACAGTGCAAAGCAGAGATAAGCGGCACGATGACAGTTTAAAGGATAATACGCCGACTGGGAGGCATTGTGTCAACTAACATGCAGCACGTTCTCCGATCCTGCAGGTGTTGGTACAGGCAGCCAGCAGACCGTTCTCCATGAGGAGCAGTAGAAGATGCCGGCTCTGCCAGCACTGCTGCTGTCAATACGCTTCCTCTCCTTCCTGCTAGTGACCATGGCACCACCCTCCCTCAGTCAGACCCCGCTCCTCTCCTCTGTGCGAATGGGTGAGTTGGACCTGCTTCTCATGATAAAAAAAAACACTATTTGTTTAATTCATTATTGAAAAATCTCACCAAAATGGTTTATTTGCCCACATTTTGTGCAGCTAAAATGACAAAAGTGTGTGTTGTAGTTTCAAACGTGTCACAACTCATGCTAGTATGATCTGGCAATCAGCCTTTTGAACTGAGCAGCCAGTGGCGTGTCCAGATCTTTTAAAATGGGGTGACCCAGCTGAGGCACTACTTTGTGCATAGGTGGCACCAATGGTTATGCTTTTTTGTTTCACCTCAAGCCTTTTGTGGACAATGAAGAGCCTATTTAAAGGGAATTCAGTGTGGTGGCACCTGGGGTGGCCAATCAGATTCCAAGGGTGGCATGTGCTACCCCAGGCCACTCCCTGGACACGCCCCTGTGAGAAGCATCCCGATTATCATCTCAAAGTTGTTTTTGTGGAAGCTGCAAACGCAAACGTAAGCCCATTTCCGACACAATCTGCTTTCAATTAATTTGGCAACAACTGAATGCATCCGTGTCAAGTCTGAATGAGCATCCAGGTGCGTGCTCGTAGCACTTTGTGGGAGAAGTTTATGCTAAGTCGGATCTAGAAACATTCACAGATCACTTTCAGCACGGCAAACAGACAGACGTGCACGAGAGAGGTGAGTTCATTAAATAAATAAAAACCAGCTCTGGCCATACCCGTAATTTACTGCAGCACATAAATATATTCCACGGCATCTGAGCCTCTGAACGTGTTGGGAGTGCCGCACCTTTGTCTGACTCTGTAGGTCTCTCCACCGTGTGCTCGGTAATTTGTTACATTTTCACACGAAAACTCGACACACGGTTAAGTTAAACCCAACTAACACCTCTTTTAGAGATCAGACTTATTCTCATGAAGGAAACTATCAAGTTTTCTTCAAAGAAAAAGCAACTTTACTGTTATTTTCAGTGCAATCAAACTCAAATCAGCACCACGCCGGTTATTTCCTAAGTGCTAACTGTTGGGTAAACTTAAAAATAAAGAGAGGAGGTATTTTCTGCTGCTTACATCCACCAGCAACCTGTTTAATGCGGCCACTGCACACTTAACCAGCCCAACTGAATTGTTATGACAATGTGACGTGTTGAGAGGAAACTGTGACTCTATAAATAATCTATACTTCACTTGATCATAGCCGTTTTCACGCCTGCACCACGATGTTCAGTGGTGAACTGCTGTGTGGTGTGTTTGTAGGAAAATGTCAGCTGCAGCACTGGTGTGGGAGCTACGGCCTCTAAAGGCTTTACATTTTATTTAAATCTGTGGTGGTTAATCTGTGTAAGATCACCTGAATCATTAAGGTTTAGGAACAGGTTCTATTAGGCTTCCATCCACACATTTTCATGATGTTTCCGCAGCCGTTTCCCATCGTTTCTGTTCTGACATGAAGTACAAACTTGTTAGGTTTTGACTACTAATGGATTCAAAAGGCAGTCACCGATTTTATACTCTGGAGCTAACTGTTAATTTATTTGCCCGTCTCCTATTTGTTCATGCCACTTTCTGACATTCGAAGGGATTTCCCTTCGAAACCTCATGAAAATGCTCATTTTTATTTATTTAGGCCAAACCGCTGTGAAAGCAGAAGGTGTCGCAGTAACTTCACACTAAGGGTCCCTTCATTAATGTTAGCGGCGCATTATTAAGCATTAACAAACTGCTAAATGGAGTTATACTTAATATTAATTCTAGTATTAAGTAATGCATTACTAAGCAGACCCCAGCCCTTTGACCTAACCTTAAGGACACTAGTTAGTTAATGTTAATTAAGAGATTATTTGTTTATTAATGCTTAATAATGCATTGATCCCGATCAGGCGTGGAGTTGTCCAACTTCCTATTAGCTTCAAGAGGAAACCAGACAACTAGTTAGCTTCATTCTTCCCCCGTCACATTGACTACTTTGCTTTATGATTTATAGATGGAGAGACTAACTTCAGAAGCTTCATCTGATGGTTAACCCTTATGGAGCCAACATCTATATTTAGACACTTCCACTCACATCATAAATGATGTCGGTGTGCCGTTTCGCGGACTCTTAGAGTTACGGGGTTTCACCCAAACAATCATCAGAGATCAAGATAGTCACCAGTTTGCACCATGGCACCATTCCACCAATCAGTGCGGGGCTATAATGCACCAAATGTCTGCAGAGCTGGAAAACTCCTCGGCCTCCTCCCGTGTTTATGGTTAGATCTCTAAAGCTAACAATGCTAGGTTTATGAAACTCTCACGTCACAAGGTTGGCTAGTTGTGCTAAATGAGGATAAATATGTTGGAAATGTAACGCCGGGAGGTGAAGCGCTCACGAAATTCGGCCGCTGCTCCTCAGTTCAGACCAGACGCTCGTTTCTCCGCTCCGGTCGAGGCGCACCTCGTAGTTTTTCTTTTAACCACTTGGTGTCCTCCATTTCCTCTCCGCCTTTTCTCTGCTCTTTTCCTCTACACCCCCCTCCCCCTTGCTGTTTGTGTATGTATGTACGTGTGTGTGTGTGTGTGTGTGTGTGTGTGTGTGTGTGTGTGTGTGTGTGTGTGTGTGAACCTATGGTGTGAACCAGTTGTTAATAGCTGTTCGACGACTTTCTGCCTCTCTGTCCTGTTTGCTCCGGTTGAACGACACCCAAAACCACACCCCCTTCACGTGGTCACACACACACACACACACACACACACACACACACACACACACACACACACACACACACACACACACACACACACACACACAAGTTTGCTGTGTGTGTGTGTTCGTGTGTGTGTGGTTTTATGCAGTGTCTGTTTACGAAACATTTGACTATCGCGGAATTGTATTTTGGAATACTTTATTTTGTTTAGTTTACTGGCCTGCCTCTTATGTCTAGGTTTGACTTCCTGCCAGAATTGACGCGGTTCACCCGCGGCTCGCGAAAAAAAATAGAGCAGACGCCGAAACGATCGCTGCACGGTGCGCGGCTCTTCAGCGGCCCATGTGGTCTATATAGTAGGATAACAAGGGCGACAAATGAAGGCGGCCCCAATTTCGCGGCGCTTCGACGGCCGGTGTGTCCCCGGCGTTAAACTCAATGGAGTTGTTGAAAATTAAATCTGCCATATTTGGAAATGTGCCCTGAACAAGTAAAAGAAAATGTGAATATTTGTAAGTAAAATCTGTTGTTTTTTAGACATAATCTTAATATTCATGGTAACAGTAATAATAACAATTATGATATTGAATATATTTAGCAGTTTTAAACTAAGATTTCTCTGGAAAATGGAGGAGGATAGTTATTGTGCCAACCAATCTCACCATCAGTGATGATGATTAGGAAGATGACATTCAGGCAGTTCCTCAAATGTAAAATATTATAATAATCTATAATGGATCAGAAATAGCATCTTTTGTTCAATAAGTTTTCAAAAATATTCCAGTTATCTGTTTTTATAAAAATATGCTGTACAGTTTAATAATTGTGATATATTCTGTATTTTTGAACATTGACATAATGTTCTAAAATGAGTTAGATTATTCTAAAGTGTCTTATAATTGTCTATATTATTCAAAAATAATGTTTTTTATTTTGGTATTTCTTTTTCCAGAACAGGGCCAACGCCCATCCCTTCGTTTTCTCTGATTTTCTGCACGAAAATTAATATTTTTGAAAATTGTAACAACAGAAATACACTTCAGAATCAGAATCAGAAAAGGTTTATTGCCATTGTCAATGAACAAGCAGTTCACAAACTAGGAACTTGTTTCGGTACTAATGTGCCACATATAACATGAATAATAAATTTCAGAAATAGAATAAGTAGAATAAAATATAATAAAACTAGCATAAAACATTCAGCTATAAAAAAGGCAGGTAGTGGTAACATGGCCGATAACGTGACGTAGTGTTGAGTACAGAAGACGAGCATGGTTGTGTGATTATAAGCTATTTACAAGTCTAACGGCAGATGGAAAGAAGCTGTTCTTATGGTGGGAGGTTCTGGTCTGGATGGACCGTAACCTCCTGCCTGAGGGAAGCGGCTCGAAAAGTCTGTGTCCCGGGTGAGAAGGGTCAGCTGATATCCGGCCTGCACGCCTCCGAGTTCTGGAGACGTACAGGTCCTGGAGAGATGGAAGGCTGCAGCCAATCACCTTCTCAGCGGAGCGCACAATGCGCTGCAGTCTATTTTTGTCCCTCACTGTGGCTCCAGCATACCACACAGCGATGGAGGAGGTGAGGATGGACTCAATGATGGCCGTGTAAAACTGCACCATCATCTGGGTCGGCAGCTTGGCCTTTTTCAACTGCCGCAGAAAGTACATCCTCTGCTGGGCCTTTTTGATCAGGGAGCTGATGGATGGCTCCCACCTAAGGTCATGTGTGATGGTGGTTCCGAGGAAGCGGAAGGAGTCCACAGTGGTGACGGGGGTGTCCGTCAGGACGAGGAGGAGAGATGGGGCTGTGACTTTCCTGAAGTCCACAATCATCTCCACTGTCTTCTGAGCATTGAGCTCCAGGTTGTTGCTGCTGCACCAGGATAAATTTGTTATGTACTACAATAACACACGGGGGTTGAAGTTTAAAAAACTTAAAATACTTCAATGAGTGCCCTATAAAGGGGTAATATATGTTGAAATACAGACACACTACAGGTTTGGTCTAAAAGTGGATTTGCACTTTTTCTTTCCTTGCATCTGAGATTCTGCCTCTGCTGGACAATTAAAAGCTTGCAATGGCAAGCGGTCAACAAATGTAGTTTTAACAGTAAATTAAGTACAGTAGCCATTAAACCAGGTAGCAGTTTCATCCCTGTAAGTGCTATTATACAAATCAGTGCAAGGAGACCCACAGCAAGCGGGAGGAGGAGGCGCGAGCCAAGAGATCCTCTAAGCCCTAAAGGTGCTGCAAAAGCAGGAAGGACAACGTTCCATAAAACTAAAGCGAAGCACAAAACAAAGCTGAAGGGAAGGAAGAAGTGACACCCGGGGAATCCGACGGAACAACCGGCAATGGAAGAAAACTCACAGTGCACACAGAAAACCGAGTCTGTTCAGGCATGCTTAGTGACACACAGACAGGGTGTTAAAAATCATGACATCATGGCACGTCGACCCACACACCACACGGTGTGTGTGATGTTGTGTGAATGGAGAAGATTGGTCACACAGCGTGGGTTTCTCCGTCACGCTGGAGGTCTTGTCTGAGGAAAGCGGGGTCAAGCTCGACGACAAAGCTGACCGGTGTCCAGTGATGTGTCCAGATCTTTTAAAATGGGGTGGCCCAGGTGAGGCACAACTTTGTGCATGGGTGGCACCAATGGTTATGCTTTTTTCTTTTTTGGTTTACCCCCAAACCTTTTGTGGACAATGAAAAGCCTATTTAAAGGTAAATTGGTGTGGTGGTACCTGGGGTGGCCAATAAGATTTCAAGGGTGGCATGCGCTGCCCCAGGCCACTCCCTGGACACGCCCCTGCCGGTGTCTGAAAGACTTAAAGCTGCCGTTTAAACAGATCGAAGAAATCATTAATGTCACGCATGTTGTGTCTAAAAAGGAGGCTGCACTCTGAGACTAAACCCCAAAGACCGACTGATCATGGCTGTTGAGCTCAAATGTTTCTGCAGATAAAAAGAGACACGTCCAACACTTATATAAATGAAACACTTCAGCTAGAACATGCTTTTGTATTGTAGTTTCTTTGCCATCATTGTGACAAAGACATGCATTAAATGCCCTTTGAGATGATTTAGAAATAAAATGTAGTCGACCTGGAGAGGTCTGGACACCACCCACCTTTGAGCCCCCATGTGTCCAAAGGTTTGCAGCACTGAGTCATCAGCCAGGCTGCAGCTTGACATTTCACTCATAAACATAAAGGTGCTTTCAGTCTGTCCTCGTGGCTCTTTGACAAACAGCAAATAAGCAAATTACTTATACCCTTTGGATTTCTTTTATACTTCAGATTCCCAACTGTGTTAAAATGAGCATGAACTAAATGCCCTTGTTCTGCTGCCAGTCAGCGGTGGTGGTCCGTTAGCTAAAACATTTCTGCATGTGTGTGGTCGATAATCTTGTTTATGATTTCTATAGCCTTCTTTTGCTGTCCCTGTTTGGACCTTTACTGCGTCTCTCCGTGATTTTATTCCTCGCACCTCCTTTCTCATTCACCATCTCTCCGTTCTTTTGTTATCTTTGTAGCGGCGATCCTGGATGACCAGTCCGTGTGTGGGCGTGGGGAGCGGCTTGCTCTGGCCTTGGCCCGGGAAAACATCAACAGCGTGTTCGAGGGTCCGGCTCGAGCTCGAGTGGAGGTGGACATATATGAGCTGCAGAAGGACTCCCAGTACGACACCACTGACACCAGTGAGTAGCGATGGGTACCGAATTCGGTACTTTTTAAGGTACCGACCGAATTCCATAGTACCGTCTGAGCACCGATTCACGTCATTTGAAACGGTGCCTCGTTTCGGTACCCGTCCTTCATAACGAGAACTTGCCTAGACAGCTGCGCATGCGCAAGAGCGTTATGTCACCGCTCGCTGCGAGCGTGTTGTAAACAGAGCAGCATGGTAGAAAGAACGCACGCTAAAGCTTGGGTCCACTTCACTAAATGTGATGGGTAACTGGGTGATGATGAAACCAGCGACAACGATCTAAGTGAGACATCCTCATCTTAATCTGCTCTGGTAGGTAAATAAAATGTTTAAGATAACGCTAGCTTGATATGTTAGCTTCTGTTCCGCTAATGGTGCGTTCGTTTTCTCCTCGGAACTCCGAATTTCTGACTAGAAGAACATGAACACGCTCTAAAGTTTGGCTTCACTTTACTAAATGCGACGGGTGATTGGGTGAAGATGAAACCAGCGACAATGATCTAAGTGTGAGGCATCATCGTTTTAATCTGCTCCAGCAGCTAAATAAACTGTTTAAGACAGCGTTAGCTTGATATGTTAGCTTCCATTGCCACCATTGTTATCAGCTAATGGTACCTTCGCTTTCTCCTCGGAAATTCTAACTTCCCAGTAGGAAAAATCAAATGAAGAAGGACGGCAAAAGGAATGAAGATACACAGTAAATTTAGTTCACAGTAAAGATGTTTGCTTCAGTTTAATTATCAGCTTATAAAACTACAAGGACGATGTTAAAATACAAACAGTTGTACCGTGAATCCTCTAATACAGGCCCGGGCCTGTATTTGACTCAAGCTCATCAAGCTCCAGGCCTTTATTGGAAGGAGGACCAGAATTAGATGCAGGCCTTTATTTCTATTTGAGTAAAATGAACTAATGGTTCGCTGGAGTTTTTGACAATTAAAATTGAGCCCACATTTTCTAAGTTAACACATCTCTTTTAACAATGGTAGTTTCTGCTTCAGCCCCCCCCCCCCCCCTGCTTCAGCCCCCTCCCCCCTCCCCCTGCGCAGCGGCCGCAAACTCACTAATGCGCCTGCAGCCTCTCGGAGTTCCTGCTGCTCTAAACATTAAAATAATTATTTCATTTTCTGTTCCTCACTTCTGATTACCTTCAATGGTGTCTGTTTGTTGCAACCAGCAGGTACAAAAACTAACTTGTTTTTATTTGACTATTTTTCTGTCCTGTCTGTTTATTATCTTCCTGCATCTCCTCTCAATCCTAAAGAAAAACTGCTACCTGGGTTCATTTATATTCACCTTATGAGTTACCTTTGAACTGCAGTTCTAAAAGATCTACCGACTGCAAAAACAGCGGAGTGCTCCCTGCTTGTCGGCCGCATCAGTGATCAGTGCGACAAGGTGATGCGCCCCGCTCCACAGCGAAACGCATCAGGCGCAAATAAAAGACAGAAAACATAAAAGGAAATGAGCCGACATGAACGATCGAGTGATAAATTAGTTTTTGAGGTGGCGACACCTGATTTGATAATGTTACTGTGGCCGTGCTCAGGACGCAGATGTCTGGAGCGCGTCAACAATCAGAGCTTTGCATGCGCAAGCTGGTTAAGGTTAGGATGGGGTGAGGGGATGATAAATTGCAAGAGGGAAAAGGTCACAATTTGGTTAAATGTCCGTTTTACGGCGGGTGTCAGTACCGACGCTCTGGCACAGCGCGTCCCCCCTCCCGACGAGCAGGAGCGTGTCACCTGCTGACAGCAGGCTTCTGTCTTTTCCGAGGGCTGCATCTTGCCGGTCATTATCACGTGACAGCGACTAGTCGATGACGGGCATAACAAGTCACTATAGTGAACTCGGCTAGTTCATACAACCCCTGCTACTGCTCCCCAGAGTGTTCTGCAGCATAATCAGCACGTTCTCTTTGAACTTGATATCAAATTTTCGCCTCCTCTTCATCTCCGCACTTGCCAAATCGCGGTCTGTCACTGGTAAATCAAAAGTGAGATGGATGACCCCCCCCAGTGGTACTTGCATGTTACCACATTCCACCTGTCCACAATAAAATACCGGCCATTGTTCACCTCCGCCGACTCCGACACCGGCCAAAATATGATACCCGGCCGTTAATTGAATACAGGCCAGTATTAGAGGAGTTACGGTATGTTATTTATCGTGATATTTATCAAATATGGTTATATATTGAGAAAAATATATATTTTATTATAAAAGAGAATTAAAATATTAAACACTCAAAAGTATCTAAAATTGGTACCATTAAGTACCGGTATCGATTCCTAGGTACCGGGAATTAGTACCGAATCGATTAAAATGTCAAAGGTACCCATCCCTACCAGTGAGTGGATGAGTCCACGTTGGCACAGAGAGTAGTGTTTGCGACACCTGCCAGTGTTGCATAAGTAATTCTTATCGATGTCTCCCATTAAAATTGTTTTATACAGGCCTTTACTTATCTTCACATCCAAACGGGTTTCTTTACGCTTCACACTTTGGTCACCTTTAATGTGGTTGTACAGAATGAACAGTTACAAGATCTGTGCCATCACTTTTACTGGCTTTTCAAGTGGCCATGGTAATGCAATTTACAATAAATTAGACCCAATAAAACCCTCCTTGAGGAAAATGGGGAATCGTTTTCACCAAAAGTTCAGTAAGAAACTTCATTCAGCCACCCAACCTCTGATTGGCCAAGGCAGCATTGAGCGACGGTTCTAGTGTCTCTTTAAAATTCGACTCATTTATTCTGTGATCGGCTCGGCCCCGCACGGCCAGATTGAGTTCGCATGTCCTTCTCAGGAATGTAGACGTGGGCGAGCACATGGACAGGTTCTGCTAAAGTGATGCAGAGAAATCGGTGGTGTAATTTCAAAATTATTAAACAAAAATGGGCGTGAGCAGTTTTGTTATTAGAGACTCTGACATGAAGCCCACAGCTTCCTACCATTGTCACAGAGCAGTGGTGCTGCCTAGGGTTTCTCCCCCATCCAAGAGTGCTCACAGCAGATGTCTGTCCTTGCGGTGCTGCTGCAGCTTTGCCCAGTACGAGCTGCAGTCAGAAAAGATGTTTATACCACTGCATCTAATCCGCCGCTGTATGATTCAGGGCGTGATTCAAATGCAAACATTTATTTGTCTAATATTTCTGTTTAGTTGGGTTTAATTTAGTTCAGTCAGGCACCTTAGCTTAAACACCACCAGGCCAATCGGAAGCTTCCTCTATGTAGGTAGGAGTGAGAGTGACACGACGTCATCCGACCGATCAGTCCATGGTTGGTATGCTCAGAACGAAATGTGAACCGCAGGGAATCAGGGCTGAAAACAGCAGTTGGCTCTCCACTGGCAACTCCAACATGAATGTGCCACCCCCACCAGGGCCAGACCAAGCTGAGCGTAGTGTAAATGCCCCAATGATATTTTGCATTATAACAAGAAACAAAGTCAGTGTCACCTCCTGCTACCATTCTAATAACCTCCTTACCCTTTTCACTGTTCCTGCCCCTTCCTCTCTCCATCCATCTTTTATTTAATGGAAGTACATCCACCACTGATTAAATTCTGGATAATTAGAGGGAAAGGCCAAATCCTATAATAGAAAATGATGTTGGATCATACATACCATGTGGTAGGCACCATTAAAGTACCTTCAGTAACTTTCACAATTTTTTTATAATAGTGATTCTTACAAAGGAGAGAAAAAGTCCTAAGTCAATATCCAAAATATTACAATCTTTGAAGTAAATTTGAAAGAACGCCCTTTAATATCCTCACTAATAAAGTCCAAAAACACCAATTTTGTGGGATTTTGTGCCAGAAAGAGCTTTTGCTTAGTTTATGCGTCACTAGAGATCAGTAATGGGTCTCTAAGACCGTCTCATTAAAAAGTGGTGGACTTGCACCCTCCAGCATCATCTGGAACAGCGTACCATATGGGCCAAGGCATAAACAAACCATCAAATACCAAAACAGAGCAGCGCAATACAACTGAGGATGCTTAATAAAAAGTTAAAACTGAATCTTTGGAGTCAGCAAAGGCAAAAATAAATAAATAAATAAAAAAGAAATAATGCTGAACTGAACCACTGAGGAGTCACAGCCTCCCTGCTCCTTTTCTAATAGGTCACGGATGCCGCTACAAGCGAAGGCTACAGCGTCTCTGTGAGCCTGCTTGAGATGCAGACATGTGTGTGTACATGTGTCCTTGACCCATGAGCAGCAGGCTCTGGACGAGCTCGTTGGCTCGCAGCGGGCTTTGGTCTCTGGATCAGAAGGCTCATCGTCTCTCAGTTATAAATGACGTGCATGTGCACCCATACACACACGTGCGCGCACGCACACACACACACACACACACACACCACACACACACACACACACACACACACACACACACACACACACACACACACACACACACACACACACACACACACACACACACACACACACACACACACACACACACACACACACACACACACATTGAACTCAGATGATGGGAATAAAAACCAACCCCAACAAGAAGGAAACCCAACAAAAAGCGGTTAAGTGACCATTTCTGCTGCGTCTGTGGAACCATTATCTGGCTGGGACACTAAACGCCTCGTCATTAAAAACGGACATTAAGAGACAGGCTGTTCTCTGTAGCGGCTAACAGCAACTGTTTGGTTTTAATAGAATTGTTCAAACTTTTATCTAAAAATTGCCTTCAAATTCTTGTTCATTTAAAAAAATCTCCAAAAATACGAGACATCTTTTTTTTTTATTTCTGAGGCATTTTTGTCTTAACTTCTGTTTTTTAAATCCTCTTCAAAGCTGTTAAATTCATTAGCTGCATGTCTACAGCTGGGATTACTCTCTGGCAGGGATTCTCAAGTTTACCATCAACAGCTCCTCCCATCGCTGCGGCCGAAGTTTCTCCTCTGATTGAGCGCTGGGGTGTAAAGTCTCACAGAGAAATCTCACCGTTATCTCCACTGTGTTATGTTTGATGCATTCCATCTTTAAACTCAATTTATATCAAATACAGACCATTAGCATCCTGGAATAACCTGCAAATGACCTCAAAATTACTCGTTAGCTAATGCTTCGATGCACTCAGTGCTGAGCTTCCAGAAATCCATTATCAAACATATTAAAAGATTCACTGTGTGGACTGAATGTGCAGATAATCACTTTATCCAGCAAGCATAATGCGACGCAGTTGCACTAAACGGACTGGATGTTTAGAATATAAAGGAGAGGCTGTTACATTCCTGGTACTTGATCAAAAGTAAAAAAAAATACACTTATTGAGAATGGATAGTGTCGGATTTCTGAACGACTTATCTGCATATTTGCTGACAATCATGGTCCTGTACAAGAGCATGCCTTCTGGTAACTCCTCAGAGTATTTCATGAGGGTTTTCCTGTTGACTGTTGACGTAGCCTCTGTGCCGTTACCCGAAGTTTCCGAAAAGCTGAATTGAAGCCCAGTGGGCGGTTCCCACCACCGCCATCGTGGCCGCATCACGCTTCTCGTCACTCACGGAAAATATAAAAATAGAGCTGAGGCTGGGCTTGTGAGGGTGAAGGCAGATGATTAACGTCCAGTAAACTCTGAGCTAATGTAGCTATGAGCTAACTGAGATAGCCAAAGCTAATGCTTTTAGCCAGAAAACCGCGGTTGAGTGAATCTTCCACCCTCTGCCTTCTAGGCTGTAACACTTTTGACGTGAGGCTGAGGCCTTCTCTGGAGCAAGCGGTGGAGAAAGCAGCTTGTGCTAGCGCTAATGGCTCATTTGTTACCTCGAAAACTCCATAATTTCAAACTTTAATTAAATCTAAACAGATGAGGTACAAAAACTTTCTGCCCCTCTGAGTTGTCATGATGGTAAACTTGACTTATTAGACCTAAAAGGGTATTTTGAACCAGGCTGTACACAATTTATTTATGCTGTAAAGTTGACTTTTTTAACTTGGGAGTAAATGGGTACTTACTCCTTTCTGGAGCCAGCCCCTGCTGGCTGTGGGTGGAACTGCAATTGCTATCACTCGGCAGGCAGAGTCCCCCCTTGGTCGTTACACATCTGCTTTGATAGATAGAGCCAGTGTTGGTCTGACGTGGCCACCTAGATCACATTCATTAAGTCGGCTCATCTTTCTACTGTTTTGTTTAGGGTTAGAGCTGTACTCATTTCATGCAGCTGTAATTTTTTATAGAAAACACCACGTTACAAAATATTTTAAAGGAAAACAAAAAGCTGTCCAATGTAAGTTTCGCATCACGTGTTCCTGGCCATTTTTTTCCCAAACCACATTAGAACAATCACATTTCTGAAGTGTTTATTGGATAAAAGGATCTAAGCGATAAACCTCCATGATAAATGCTACATGTCAACACAATACCTAAACAGGAGAACTGGTGTGATCTCAGTCACTTTTTCAGGTTTTTTTTAAAGAAGGTGCAGCAACTTTAAAAATTTAGCTTAAAAATAATCTAGAAATTTAGCACAAATAAATGTTACGGAATGGGACTTTATCATAATCGCACCCTCTGTAAATCTGCTACTCTTAACTTGTTAAAGGAGATATTTATTCCTGTTTGTACTATTTCTGTGTAACATCACGTAACGGCCTGGTTTTAAGACTCACAGGTCAGATACACAGCCTGGGTCACCGTGCCCTGGCTACGACTCCAATCTGCAATTTAGTCCTTCACATGAGACTTAAAGTCTGCTACCACTCCTTTAATCTATGCAGCTGTCTGCTTATCTGACTGCTATTCCATCCAGCAAGAGGAGGACATTTCAAGATTTAAAAGAATCATTTAAATAAACTCTCTTTACTGCTAATCTTAACTGCTAAAGATTAGATGAAGCCAAAATAATGTTTCCTTTTATGCCAAGCCTTAGTTATCAAATAATCTACTGTCATCTCCCGCCTCCATTACTGCAAAGCCCTTCTAACTGGTCTTCCAGGCTGTACTGTGAAACCTCTTCAAATGGTCCAGAACGCAGCGGCACGTCTGGTCTTCAATCAGCCAAAAAGAGCACACGTCACCCCTCTGTTCATTGAGCTCCACTGGCTACCGCTAGCAGTACGCATCAAATTCTAATAGCTAACACTAGCATACAAAGTCCGAGATGGTACGGCTCCCGTCTACCTGAATCCTCTTGCAAAGGCTTACGTCTCGGCCCGGCCGCTCCGGTCATCACAGGATCGTCGGCTAGCAGTGCCTACACCACGCTCAGGACAATCCAGACTCTTCTCATGCATCGTTCCACAAATGTGGAATGACCTTCCAAGCACTACCAGAACAGCGGCTTCCTTTTCAATTTTCAAGAAACTCCTGAAGACCCTGCTCTTCAGAGAGCATCTTCTAAACTAGCACCGTCCCTGCACCCGTCCCTCCTCTCTACTGTCCACTCCTTGTTCCCTCCTCTCCATGATTGATGTCAAGTTGTTGATATTGTTGTTGTTAGCCTCAAGGGCAACATGTAAGCACTTGTAAGCACCCCCCCCCACCCCCCCCAGAATGCGTATTTTTAATGTATTTTTCCATCTAGTGTGCCAGATCCTGCCAAAGGGAGTCGTGTCTGTGATAGGTCCAGCCTCCAGCCCTGCTTCTGGCTCTACTGTCAGCCACATCTGTGGAGAAAAAGAGGTGAGTTAAACAACCGAACTCATCTTTGCTCGTCCTTTCTTTCTACTCATTATTAGTAATCGACACATTCAGCTTTTCATACATGTAGAATTTCTCATTTTACAATCAAACATGTCTGATCTTACTTTTTTGTTCCTGTTGTGGATTTTTAGAGGACTGAATCATAAATCACCTTTTCTGTCCTCCCTTTGCTCTTTCATTCCCCTCTGTCCACATTCCCTGTCTTGCAGATCCCTCATGTAAAAATTGGTCCAGAGGAAACTCCCCGTCTGCCGTACCTGCGCTTCGCCTCTGTTACTCTTTACCCGAGCAACGAGGACCTGAGTCTGGCCATAGGATCCATCTTACGCTCGTTCAGCTACCCCTCAGCCAGCCTGGTCTGTGCCAAGGCTGAGTGTGAGTTACGTGTTAAGCAGCGTTACGACCCTCAGGTGCCCCAACACTGAAACTCAGCGACCCGATTTCAATTACATGCAAAGGCAATCCATTATAAACATGTAATTACACGTCAGACTAGACGATGAAAAACATCATATTCATGTATAAAAGAAATCAAGTCAGTAATATGATTATTGATCACAATTCACCAAATACTAAAGTTTCTTAAAGACCAAGTTCTCTGTCTGTTCCCCTGTTATTTTTTAAGTATGATCATTCACATTCCATCTTTTAGTTATTTTTAAAACACAGAAACGTTTTATTTACCTGCAACGTTTCGTTTGCGGCTGCAAACTTCTTCAGGCTGACGCCGATGGTGGCGTCACTTCCTTCTCTTTTTACTGGTCTCAGCAAAACCTCCCTCTCACGCCTTCAAGCCATCCAAAATGCAGCAGCCAGATTCCTAACCTAATCCAGCAGACGAGCTCACATCACCCCATCCCTCCACTGGCTCCCGGTAGAATTTAGAATACAGTTTTAGTTTTAGTCCTGACCTATAGAGCTCTTAACAACCAGGCTCCAAGCTACCTGTCTGAGCTTTTATCCCCACACATCACCTCTCGGAACCTCCGATCCACATCTGAAAACCTCCTGGCTGTTCCTCGAACCAGACTAAAAACCAAAGGGGACAGGGCCTTTCAGTCTATTGTCCCCAGACTTTGGAACAGTCTGCCTTCAAATCTCCGTCTCTTGAAATCTGTAGAGGTCTTCAAAAAACATCTTAAAACTCACCTTTTCATCCAGGCTTTCCCCCGCTAAATATTCCAAAAGATGGCTCTGTTCTTGTTCACACCTTGACTTTGTTTTTACTCCTGATTTTTGTTACTATTGTTGTCACTGCAATTGTTTTTATGATGTTTTTATTGGTTTGAGGTATTTGCCCTGATTTTACTCATGTTGTACAGCGCTTTGTGATTTATATCTGTGAAAGGCGCTCTATAAATAAACTTTACTTACTTACTTCTCCGTTTATCTGCGGGCAGCAGAGGACGTTGTCGCCCTCTGCTGCCCACTCTACCCTCTCCGACGACGCGGTCCCATGCACGATCCAACGAGTAAACTCCACCGTCCCTCTTCATGGTCCCACATCCACGTCTCCTTATCTCGATAGCTTCTTTTTATCCATCTTTTGTATTTCTGTTGTTCGGTGTTTATGATCCTTGTGTTGTCCCAGTCCAACACACTGGGATTTCGATGGAAATCCCATTCAAACTCTGCAATAAAACATACATAGGAGAAACCGGACGACAGTCCAACACACGAACAACAGAACATAGAAAGGAGTGCGAGAAAGAAACAAGTCGAAAACACAAGAGCAGCAAAAGAAGAAGCAGAAAGCACAATAAAGAAGTCAGCCGTAACAGATCACTGCACAAGAGAAAACCATATGATGGACTGGGACAACACAAGGATCATAAACACCGAACAACAGAAATACAAAGGATGGATAAAAGGAGACGTGGATGTGGGACCATGAAGAGGGACGACGGAGTTTACTCGTTGGATCGTGCATGGGACTGCATCGTCGGAGAGGGGAGAGCGGGCAGCAGAGGGCGACAACGTCCTCTGCTGCCCGCAGATTAACGGAGAAGGAAGAGACGCCACCATCGGCGTCAGCCTGAAGAAGTTTGCAGCCGCAAACGAAACGTTGCAGGTAAATAAAACCTTTCTGTGTTTTAAAAAGAACATAAAGATGGAATTAGAATTTCAACACAGCAAGAACACACCAAAGAGAATCATTTACTTTGAGTTTAACACACAGGCTAAACGTAAAAATAGTCTTCTACCCCTATTTCCTGCTTTAGCCGCCAATAGATTAGAAAAGCCAGTCAGATCTACTTCTCACACCAAATTAACATTCATGGACTCACCCATTTTGGCTCCTGATGGAGAAAGCTGTTGTTGATTTAGCATCCAGGAAACGGCAAAGTCTGTCTTGGCTAGTAGAAGCTAACTGTTAGCATTAGCATCTCCACTACATGGCAGAACTCCTTCAGAGTTGAGTTATTTGACGAGATAAAATATCAATAAAGCAATCCTGCCATCATCTGCTCCCCTCTGCTCTGGCTAACGTCTACTTCCTGAAACAGGAGGGCCAGAGCGCTTGTGCTGTTTGTGGAGGTAAAATCTCAGCGTTGCAGAGCAAACTGAGTCATTGGTAGAGTCGTGCTGCTGCTATCCAATCAGAGACGAGATGTTCGAATATCGAGAAATAAGACTCCAAAACCAAAGTCGTCTTCGGCTCATCTCTCCCGTGGTTTGTTTCAACTCGCTGAAACAGGAGCGCCAGAGCTTTATTTCCCACAGAGATCGACTCACAAGGCATTAATTGGTACCGTCAGGTAGACCGTCAGTTGCCAAAGAAAAGTGATTTTGCTCTGCATATCGGTCTAGCCATGCTCTATTGGAATCTCCGTAGTCCCAGACAGTCTGCGGCTGCTCCAATCACAGAGCTCTATCTATTTGGTGGGCCAATCACAGCGCTCTGTATGTTTGGTGGGTGGGTTGTTACTGTGAGTGAGAGGAAGATGGCGGTGGCTTGTTTTAAACGGCTTTGGCATCAACTTTGAACTATTTCGACTTGGGCATATCTTTAAGCAGATAGGTTCTTAAGTCCTTTATTTAGAAAAATGATGCGTTTATGTCTTCTTCGACAGTTTATGGCGGACTGTTTGTTGTCCCGCCTTGTGACTGAGAGCGTTTAATGAGTCGTGGCCAGACTGTATACTCACATGTACAGGATGGCTTGCCAGGCTAAGACACCACTGCAAAAGTATTGAAAAGAACAAGTGAGCTTGGTCTTTAAAAAACTGACAAAATTATGTAGAGAACAGCAGCATCCGTGTAAATAATTACCCACCCATCATTAGAGAGACATCAATAAGATGACCAGTGCCCGACTGATGGGTGAAATAAAATTTATACTTTTTTTATATTATATTTACACATAATAATCATCCATCACAGAGACTCGTGTGTGCGCGCGCACACACACACACACACACACACACACACACACACACACACACACACACACACACACACACCCAGGGTTCCCTGTTAGGCTGCTCGCTGCCTGTTAATGGTGTAAAACAGGCTGAACCACAGTGCACAGCTGTTTTTAGTCAAGTAAAAGGATCATTTGAATTCTCTCAGGCTTACATTCTTAGTTGATGCACCTTTCTGTGTTCAGATAGCTCCAGTTGGAGTGTTGGCAGGTTCCCAGTTTGGGTGGATATGACCATTCGGATGAGGATCAGCACCTCCAAATCTGAGACCATGGTTCTCGACCGGGAAAGGGTGGCTTGCCAACTCCGGGTCGGGAGAGAGGTCCTACCTCAAGTGGAGGGGTTTAAGTATCTCAGGGTCTTGTTCACGAGTGAGGGTAGGAGGGATCGGGAGATCGACAGGCGGATTGGTTCGGCGTCTGCAGTGATGCGGACGCTGAGCCGATCTGTCGTGGTGAAGAGGGAGCTGAGCCAGAAAGCCAGGCTCTCGATTTACCGGTCGATCTACGTCCCAATCCTCACCTATGGTCATGAGCTTTGGGTAATGACCGAAAGAACGAGATCGCGGATACAAGCGGCCAAAATGAGTTTCCTCCGTAGGGTGGCCGGGCTCAGCCTTAGAGATAGGGTGAGGAGCTCGGACATTCGGGAGGGACTCGGAGTAGAACCGCTGCTCCTCCGGATCGAAAGGAGTCAGTTGAGGTGTTTTGGGCATCTGGTCAGGATGCCTCCTGGACGCCTCCCCGGGGAGGTGTTTTGGACATGTCCTGCTGGCAGGAGGCCCCCGGGTCGACCCAGGATATGTTGGAGAGGTTACATCTCCAATCTGGTCCGGGAACGCCTTGGGGTCCTGCCGGAGGAGCTGGTGGAGGTGGCCGGGGAGAGGACGGTCTGGAGCTCCCTAGTTGGGATGCTGCCCCCGCGACCCGGACCCGGATAAGCGGAGGAAGACGACGATGACCATTTGGAGCGGTTGGACTCTCTCTTTGACAGTCTGGTTATGAAGTTCAATCTGTCAGAGTGCAGAACATGGCTCATGAAGCTTCCCTTTTATTTATTACTCATCCTCTGACAAACTGTTTTTATCTGCCTCAGAGGATTCTGAGGCCAAACCAGTAGAATAAATATTCATGTTAGAAACGCTTCCCAGTAGCGGAGGATCACGGGGGACATTTGATTTACCTTGTGAGGCACTCCGAGAGCTTTAGCATCACAGGGGGATTCGGGTTTGGTCACCGGCTGCCTTTATTTTCATTTTAAAAGAGGACATCATTGATTTATGTCGCAGTCCCTCGTTGAGAGTCACAGGAATAAAAAGGCTTAGTCGGATGGAGGCTGTTGTATACACACGGAGCTTTGTGAATATGTGACAGGACTCCAGGAAGTGTCAAAAATCTGATCCATACGCTGACTAAATGCCAGAGTTTTTGTGTTTCTGAGTAAAACTGAGGCGGGATTAGTTGTGCAGCTGTCAGCTCGTCAAAGCAGCAAAATGGAACAATCCAAGAACCGGAAGGCCCTTACGTAAAGAATCAGGTGGACCACTGAAGCCTGGGCAGATCCTGTGACATTAAGAAAAATTGATTCCCTCGTCGAGGAGCTTTCATTATCTCCCCACCAGTTAGCAGCCCTCCCGCAGCTTCCTGAAGCTGAATTCTCGGCGGACTCGTCATTTCATTGAACTGAAAGAGCTTTGAAACGGCATCAGACCTCCTTTTTTCCTGTTTTGATCATCGGTTGAACGGGCGGATGAGAGCCTTGTGTTTCAGCTGGCTTGCCCTCTCTGAAGCATTAGAGGTGAACGACAGCCGCCGCCTGAGCTAAAAGATGCAACTTTTAACCGGCGGAGGAGCCGAGGAGCGTGTTTGTGTTGTGCGTTTGCCTCCGAGGTGATCTTTACAAGGTTATCGCGCTCACAGACTCTGACCCACTTGGCCGCGCTATCTATCG